TTTAACCTTCTGCCTGGAGTGCTCTTCCCCCAAAGCCAATTCCCCTCCTTCCCTTCCCCTCTTTAGGACTTTACCCAAATGTCACCTTTTTAATGAGTCCTGCTTCCCTGTTTAAGTTTTTCTCCTTAGAATTTATCACTTGTATACAATATGCAGTTTATTTAATGTCTTCCTCCATTTCACATGGATAGGGACTGTGTGTCTGTCCCTGTCACTACTTTCGCCCAAATAGGTTACATGGCAGGCATGTGACGTGTATTTTTGGAACTGGGCTATAAGCCCTCATTTAGGATGTTGACTTCTGTGGTGAGAACAGCAATGGCATCACTTATCACTGTACCTCCAGCACCTCACCTCCAGTCACCCAGAAGTGGCTCAAAGCATAGATAAATGAACAACAAAACAGGAGAATCCCATATGGAGGCCAGGATACATCATGAGCAACCAATCGTTTTATGAACTAACATGGAGAGGTTCAACCTTAAGACTACAGACTAATCTTGAGAAGAAACTATTGAATTACTGAAAGAGTAAAAGAGCTCATAAAGATTGATAAAAATTGACTTTGAAGAAACATATGAATAATGATGATACCTGCATGAAAAGAAAGAGTTCCTCAATTTCATTGTACCTCACATGTAAATAATATTCTAGGCCACCAATCTGAACCTGTTTGACACATTTTGGTTCTTCCCTATACCTGTATGTGAGGCCAAAGACCCCTTTACATACAACTTCTGGATGGCAGCATCAACATACACCATACCCTGAATTGGCTAAACAGCTCGTCCTCAGGATTGGTTCCAAGAACCTCAACAAAATTTATAGCTTCAGTTGCCAAAATGGCTGGAATTCTCAAGCTCCTGGGTGATAACAGAGTTGTAAGTATGGCTACTGTCCACTAATCTCAGTGATGTTCAGCCTCTCTGCTTTACTGAGACTATGTCTAGGGTACCCAATTTCTCTTCTGGTTCCCTAGGGGCCAGGGTTAGAGGTGGAGATGGGTATGTAGGGCTGGACCATTGGGGATAATTCACCCTTAAAACTAGGGAGTGCTTTCTGGAACCAAAGAATCACATATAAACAGGGAGTGGGCACTCCCCTGGCTTAAGAAACACAACAGGACATGACCACTCTGAAAGCGGTCTCAACACAAACTAGGGGAAGCCGTTACATTCACCTGCTGGGGATGTCCATGCCTCTGCTCCCTTGGCACAACTGAGTCATTTAAATGAATTGTTCATCATATAAACTGATATCACTTGGCAAAGAGCTCAGGTCTGAAGAATCGTAGTGGCGGTCGGAGCAGCAAGGGGGGTTCCCAAGGAGAAACCATCCCCGCTTTAGCTGGGCAAACAGCTGGCTTAGGTAGAACTAGTTCTATTCCACAATAATAAAAAGGAAAAAAAATAGATTTTATATAAATCTATTTCCAATATTTCTTACTCCTTCTTACTTGCATCACAACTTTGTTTGGGGGAACTAGCTCTTGCCCATAGTGTGTAACCATACTGTGATAGTGAATCATGGTGCTCTGATCTCCTTCTGGAAGCTGAAAGGCTCAGTTGAGACTCTGCTCATCAGCTTTCCAGGCTCTGTTAAAGCCAAGGAGTGAGCACTTTCCCTAAATTCTGCCCATTAAATTCTCTCCTGAGACCTTAACTATTGAGGAGAGGGACATGAGAATGGAGAACATAGGGTAAACCATATAGTTTAGCAATGGAGTGAGCTGCTGTAGCTCAGACCTTTTGAGGCTGCCTGCTTCTTGAGGTTTCGCTTCAGGTTTCTTGGAGCAGCCCCTCCTTCAATTTCTTTGAATAAATCCACTATGGCTTAAACAATCCAGCCTCATTGATGAAAACATTTCTTAAAAATTCTCAATATGAGAAAAAGGAAATCACCATCATGGGGTATAGATGATGGGCACATTTTTCTTGAGATTTTCTCAAGGAAGTAAGAGTAAATTTCTAAAACGTTTTTAAAGAACTCAGAACAAATCTGTACTGTCTGAGGCAAGTTATAAAAATTAAAATATGACACTAGCTGAGAGGAAAAAGAAACTGATAGTATTAAAGAAAGATTTTAATTAACAAATAATGCTATGGCAAATTTTTAAAGCAAACTGGAAATAGTAAATATTAGAATGGTTACTGCTTAGAAATAGACAATTTGTACAGAGAAGTGGTTTTCAAACTCTTTTGATTGTGTACCACATAAAAGAATTTTGAAAACTTCAGGTACTCCCTTGAATATTTTAAACTTGACATCTAAAACTTTTCATCAAAAATAGAAATGACTTGCTTTGTAAATAAAAGAAAATATGAAACATAAAATGAGGAATGACTACAATTAGAATAAATATTTCATGACATGATTTGGTTTTAATAAAAAAGTTTTAACCATCTTATTGTATAATTTATAGCAAATCTAGAAGAAATCACATAACTTTTTTGTCTGAAGATTTTATCGAATATATCTTGAAGCTTTGTACTTTAGGAAAAGATTCCAACTTCATTTGAAAGAACCAGTTCCCTAACCTGCCTTGCTTCAGTTGTTCTGAACTCAGAGCATTCTAACTCTGGCCAATCTCTAATAAGGGCACACACAGCAGACAAGGAAAGGCAGGAAAACCAAAAGCCAGATGAATATTAATCATTAATAGGTAATCCCCAAACCAATATTTGGAAACCATTTGTTTACATTCTAGGTACTGTTCCACAATAAAGTGTGGATGCCTTTTTCTTTTTCAATGGAAAGAGGGATAGTGCGAACATAGGCATATTTTCAGGCAATTTTAGGAAATAAGTTGGAACTTATGGAAGTCGGGGAAGACCTTGGGAAATGTGTTCATGTGCTTTCAGCACTGAGAAGTCCATGAAGAAAGCAAAGTAAAAGAAAAGAAAAGAAAAAAAGATACAAGGAAAGAAACTCTTAAGACCACTAGCTGAAAAGCAAATTATTCATAATGTTCAAGGCAACATTGGTTGAAAGTAATTTACACTTTACAACATTTTGGGGAAAGTATGGAATTCCAGGTTAAAGAGCGAATCCTGTACCACTGAGCCTAAATATATCTCTCCTACAAAAGTTAGCTGGCTAACCAGACTTCCTTATTATATTAGACACCAGAAAAGACTTGCAGGAAGTCAATACTGGCTAAGTTAATATTTTAATGTATTAAGTCTCCATAATAATAATATGGTATATGAAAAAAGAAATTCTCCACTATTATGGGATTCATCCAAGTACCAAGTTCCAAAATAATCTCCACTGAAATATTTTGAGAAGTGGGGGTAGTGTTTATGAAAAGAAGTGTCAGTGGCTAGGGCTAGGCTAAGGTAAGCGAGAGGTGTCCATGGTGCAAAATTAAGGAGATACTCTCATGTGCCAATCTTGTGCTCGCACAAAATGAGCCTGAGGAAGAGTGCCTCCCTGGGCGCCTGGCTTGCCTCACCCTACTGACCCTGAATTATATCCAAGTAACAGTGACAATTATGATGCTCGATAGAATGCAGTTCTTGTATGCAAAGTACTTAATGCAACACTAATACATTAACTGCAACAAGTTAGAGCAAAATTTCAGAGAACAGCCATGAAAACAAGGGACTGTACTTAGGTGGGATATTCGGATGTCTCAGTGAACCAGTTTCCTCGTTGTATGTAAGCTAGGAGTCAACAATTGCTCTTTTACTCCACAGGTTATTAACTTAAGAAATAATGCGTTTAGGAAACAATAAATTTGGGGTCACAAAACAGTAAAATGTAATCTTCCCACACAAGAGGACTTGGAGCAGAATTCTTCCTCTATGCTTTAAATTCTTTCATAATTAAATAAAAATAAATGAACTCAATATTCAAAACAAAATTTACAGGAAGTAAAACAAAGGGAAATAGGAAGTAAGAATGACGAAAGATAAAGCTACTATATTAGAAAATAAAAGACAAGATCTCTTAGAAATAAATAACTCATAAGTGGTCTAATGAAGAAGCAGAAAAAAAGCACACATGAATCATGTCAGAGGTACAAAAGAAGCTCAAACCTCAGCTACAGAAAAAATGAATATATTGTAAAAAGATAACTGATAAAACATAATTGATAATTATATTTTGCAAATATAATTTAAATTGTGTATAAAATGGATGGTCTTCCAAGATACCTTAAGTTGTCAAAACTGATGGAAGAAAATATAGAACCCCTTAACAGGCCCACACCAATGAGTAAATTAAGAACCTTATCAAAGAACTTTCCTCAAAGTAGCTTTAAGCCTGCATAATTTTACAAACCAATGCTTTCAATCCTTCAGATAATAATAACAAGGATAAAATTTCTGTTCTAGTTAATTTTTTCAGAGTACTGGGGAATAAGGAAAGTTTCCCTTTCTTTTTTTGAAATCAGCATAAGCCCCATATCTAGATATGACACGCACGCATACAGAGCCAGTGTCATATACCAATACAGCAGCCAAAGTCCTAAATAAACTATCAGTGAATCAAATCCTCTGGCTTATCGAAAGGATACTCAAGGAACAGTCTGCTCAACATTAAGAACTATATTAATATAACTCATAATATTTAACAGTCAAAAGAGAAAAAGCAGATCATCTCATTGTTCAATAGATGTCAATAAGCTATTCAAGAAAAGCGAACTAACTCACATTAATGTTAGAAATGAATGTTAGAAAAGAATTGTTAAATCAGAAACAACTCTTTAGGATGGGGGAGATGGGTTAGAGATGCTTCCTATCAACTCAGAATGCATCTATTCTGAAGCCATTAGGAAATGTGAATGGTAACTTTTTCAAACCATCAAATGGAGAAAGATAACTGAAGCGTCTCTGACACACATGTTATTTGTCAGGAATCGATCATAGCAGGTGCTCAGAAAGCCTAGAAGTGCTGAGCCATCACTCTTACCTTTACCACCGATGACAACCAATGCTTCCAGGGACTGGGTTTCTTAGGAAGCCCAAGCTCATTCATTTTGCCGTTTGGGAACTTACACTTTAATCCAAAAGCTGACAACACAGACCGTCCTGCTGCCTTCCTTCCTGCTCTGATGCTGGAGGGTCGGGCAAAGGAGGAGGCGAGAGATGATCAGGGAGCACGTGAAAGTAGAGACCACGCCTCCTTCCCAACTGCTCCATTTGTCAGACCTAAGCTGAAAAGAGAGGAGAAACTTTGAAGTGGATGAAACACTGAATTTAAGTAAATGTTTTACTTTTTATATACACAAAAATGTACGAATCATAAATATACACTTTTCACAAAGTAAAAACACCCATGTGACTAGCACCCAAGTAATAGGTCATTACCAGCATCTCAGGAGCCTCCTTGAAGTGCCCCCTTCCACTCCTACTCAAGGGGAATTCCTAACTTGACTTTTAATAGATTAGTTTTGTCTGTTTTTGTTTTTTTTAAAACTATTTAAACTTCTTAAATAAGTTTTTTTTGTCTTCTTTCATTTAAAATTGTGTTTATGAGATCCATCCATGGTGTTGTGTATTGTGGTCTATTTATTCTCATTGCTGTATGAATACACCATAATTTCTTTTTATTCATTGTTCTCTTGACACTTTGTTTGCTGTTGGGCTACTATAAGTAGTGCTCCTATGAACATTGTTGTACATCTTTTTCCAAATATCTATGTACATTTCTAAGTGAAATGTCTAAGTCATTGGAATGTCTAAATTTAGATTTAGGAGATATTGCTAAGAAGATTTCCCCGAGTTCTGATTTATACTTACAGTCATAGGGTGTGAGAATTCCAGTTGCTCCACACCTTGCCAACGTTTGCTGTTTTCCATCTTCTTTTATTTTGTCCTTTCTGTTAAGCATGTAGTGGTATCTCACTGTGGGTTTTTGTTGTTGTTGTTGTTGTTGTTTTTTGTGTGGTATGCGGGCCTCTCACTGTTGTGGCCTCTCCCGTTGCGGAGCACAGGCTGCAGACGCGCAGGCTCAGCGGCGATGGCTCACAGGCCTAGCCGCTCCACGGTATGCGGGATCTTCCCGGACCGGGGCGTGAACCCGTGTCCCCTGCATCGGCAGGCGGACTCTCAACCACTGTGTCACCCGGGAAGCCCTCACTGTGGTTTTGATGTTTATTTATCTAATGTCTAAGGAAGTTGAGCACTGATTTATATGTTTATAGGCCACTTAGAATTTCTCTATTATGAAGCCTTTGTTCAAAATATTTGCCTATTGTGTTGTCGGGGGTTTTTTTTTTTTGCCTGTATTTAATTTGCCTATATTTAATTTAATTCATTTTATTACTCCTCTCCTTTTTTCTTCATTTTGTTTACTACAAACTCTCCTTCCTCTCTAAATTGTAAATACCCGGAAGACAGAGCCAGAGTGTTCTTACCTCAGTATCACCCTCATAGCCTGTCAATCTGTTTTCTTTAAAGCACCTGCTCAAAAATACCTGTTGATTTGCATTAGGAGATTCTCTTTATCTGCTAAACTAGCTCAAGGCTTTAGTCTCTGTGGTTCTACTTGGCTTCTAAACATGCTAAGTATTTCTCCCCTGGAATAGTTGCAGCAAAACTGACATCAGCTCTCTGTGTAGAGACAACCTAGAGGATGTGTTTTAAAGGTTAGGAGACAGAATTAATTCCTGTTGGGGTTGATGATGACTATCTGAGAATCTTGGGCAAATAAGGAAAATCTGAAGAAGGTCAAATGATCTTTTTCAATCCTAAAAAGGAATTTCTCTGATGTGTGATATTGTCCCATGATTTCTTCCATCTTGTTATACCTTCAGTATTCTTCTCCTCCATTTAAGTCTTCATTTCATTTGAAAATGCCTCTGTCATCTTCCTCTAATTTTCATTCTATGGACCAAACTATCTCAATGTCTCTTCTAGAACTGCCCATATTGCTTCCCTTCACATCCATTCTTTTTACATTGTAAGCTTTGCAATTCTATCTTCTCTCTCCCATGATTTTCAATTAGCCTAATTTAATCTTCTCCTTGTCATTTCCTGGTTGTTAATCTCCTGGAACTTAGCTAGGATAAATAAATATCTATTTTGCCTGATGGAAATAATCCTAATGTAAATAATTTTTAAATGGCCCATTTAATTTTAGCATGTGAATTTTAATAGAATGTAACCACATAAATAAACATCCATGTTTCTCAGTGTATAAAAATGTTAATGCTGTGGATTACAGCCTTAAAATTCTGTGCTGAGCTCTAGAACATACAACTCTGGTTCTAGTAGATCTTCTCTGTGTCTATAATCGCCCTCATGAAGGTACTTATCAGTGATTATTTTCACACAGCTTTTTACCTAGTTTCTTACAAAAAGGAAAATTCAAAGGCAACAGGAATTGATGTTTCAAGTTTGTCTAGCAGTTTGTCAACCCTGGCTGCATGTTAGAAATCCTGGGGAGTGTCTAAAAATTAGTGATATCTGGGCTTTATCCCAGACCAATTCATTCAGAATCTCTTGAGTAGAGCCCATTCATCTGTATGTTTTAGAAACTCCCCAGGGAAATCTAACATGTAACCGAAATTGAGAACTGCTGAGCCTATGGCCAAGAATATGAAAAAAGAATGATGATAAGTAAAAAATGTTGAAAAAGTTAATGGTCAGTACTACATTTAAGTCTGCAACTATATCCTCAGAGACGGGTAAGAGTCCTCTCTTTGGCCCAGTGCTGGATTTCTGCTTGTCCAAATGTGAGGTAAAAAACCAGGCCAAACATGTTGACAGCAGCAGCAAGGAAAAAGACATTCCTCCATCCAGACACAGAATCCTGGAGGAAAAAAAAAAAAATACACAGAATTATCAGCCTCACAGTTGCTTCTCCACTAGTTCTAGAAATCTTCCATTCTGTATATTGCAACACTGATCACAAAGAATCTAGGGAACAATATGCAATAACCACTGAGCACTTGAATTCTCAAAGAAGGTTTTATGAAACTGGTGGAAACAAGAGGATGCTAAAATGAACACTGGGTTCTGGCTTGGATGAGCTTTTCTTTAAACCCAAATAAATTAACCTACACTAATGTTTTTCTAGAAATTTGGATCTCAACATTCTTGAAAATATCATTATTACTCATTTTAAATTATGCCTAAAACAACAGCTTTAAGATTTTCACTCTAGTGCTCTCTCTGATTTGTTTTGTTTTTGACTGTTGACATCAATCACACCAACCCTCTGGATGGACATCTCAATATAATGTGAGTTACATTTGGTCTGACTGTATGATTTTCCTCATCCAGCCCTTGTAAGTCACAGTTCATTTCTGGCATTATAGTCAAAGTGGATTCCTAGCAATTTGGTTAAAATCAACCTGAAAATAGATCACCTAGAGATGTATTGAAAACAAAACAAATCTTTTTCTGTAGGTTGGCTCATGTCATCCTGCCATCCCAGCCTGGTTCTGCCTTTGCATCCTCCCTACCAGCCCACACTTGGTACTGAGCAAGCCTCACGGGCTATGCTCCCTGCTTTGTGTCACAGCCTTTCTCTTTCCACCCAAAATTTAACCTCTCTTCAAGCTGGCCTTGGGACCCTTTGAGTTTCCATTTTGTGATTTTTTTTTAGAAATTGGAATTAATCTGAACAGACTGTTCATAACCTTCCCCTTCTGATCCTGTGTCTTCATCTCTTATCCTTGACAAGTATCATTCACTCTGGTCATAATTAAGAGCTGTTTCATACTTTTGTTCCTCTAGGAAGTCATATGTGCTATTTTCTCTGCATGAACTGCTCATTTTCATTAATCTAATACCTATTCATTTTTAGAAATTCAGCTTTTACTTCTCTTTCCCTGGGAAATGTGAACTACCAGACTCTGATTTAGAGTCCCCTAAGAATAGAGTAATTGTGTTGGCATCCAGGCTTATTTTCCCCATCAGACCATACAATCCTTGAGAACAGAGGCCCTGCTGTGAATCCCCAGTGCCTAAAACAATACCTGCCACTTGCAGGTGTTCAATAAACTGGCCCAACCTGACTGATAAGGAATCCGGTGGCAGTGGAAGAGATGATTCCTGCGATGAGCCCAAATCCCCTTGAGATTCCCATGAGGAAACTTGCATACCTGTGAGGAGATGATTTTATATAGAAAGCTGCCTATCACTTTTCAGCAACTCAATTTTAATGCAGTCCAGCTCTAATAGCAAAGTCATTTAGCCTAACGCAGTTTTTTCTGTTCACTTCAAGCTAGTTAGGGCAATGTCTGTTTGCCAAACCTGAAATCACCTATCCACCGGCTCAACAACTAGGAAACAATTCTGTCTCTCAGGAGCCCAGGTTCCCACCCCAGCATCTCAGCGTGGCAGGCAGCTTGCGCAGTGGATGAGACAACATACACTGGACAAACATACACTGGACAGACGGCCTGGGTCCAAATCCTGGCTCTGCCCTTGTGTGACTTCAGGCATGTCACTTAAACTTCTTGTGCCTCAATCATCTCCCTTATAAAGTAAGAATAACAATAGGACATGTAGTTATGCAGACCAGATGTGCTGATACGTGAGAAGTCCTTTGAATAGGATCTGGCTCAGGACAGGTGTATACATATGTGGTAGCTAATATCATCAACACTCTGGAAGCTTTTCCAAAACACGTGTGTGGGTCCGTTCCCAGAACACACAGTCTAATCTCTAGTGGAGAAGCTAAGGGAGTTTCATTTACTTGTTACTGGCCAAGATTGGGCACTGTTTTTCTAAAAACACCTTAGGTCATGGCCACATACTGACATTTCTAGTTATTTGTTATTACTCTGCCATCATTTTGTGCGTGTCAACAACAGGAAGCAGTTGCGAGAAGACTGAGGCCTAAACCTCCGGAAGGGCCTGGGGGAGGGGAACAAACAGGTCACACCTTACCGGGGAGCAACGTCTAAGGTGTTGATGATGAATCCTGAATCACACAGGTTGCTGGTCCCAGGAATAAGTATCAGCAAAATAATAGTTGTTGTGTAACTGGAAGCCACAAAAGGCAGGGCGACAGCACACAGCGATGGAAGGAGGAGCCCTGGGCAATGGGGACACACCATCAGGAAACTTCTCTGACCATGTGTGGATAAAGGGATTGGTTAACCGAGTCCCCGCATCCTTACCTAGGGATGAAAAGAGTTTTCGGACGGTGATTAATCTGAGAAGCTTCCTGGACAGGAGGAAATCTGCCAACTGACCTCCTAGAATCGTACAACTTGAGGCAGCAATAAAAGGCAGGGAGGACAGAACACCACTCTGAAGGGAGGAAATGTATACAGTAAGTAGTTACAGAGGCGCATATGGCACCAGAGCTTATCAGTTACACAGACCAACCATTAGCCCACCCTCCTGACACTTGGAGTTGCTTTAAGGAAATTAGCATCCTTTTCCACATGAGGAGAACACTTCCTCAGGTAAGAGAGCCAGAACTTGCATTACACTGGTCTCCAGAGAAAAGCACTACTCATTTCCAAGGGAAATTGAAGCATCAGCTAGTATGGCAGCATTGCATAGTGGTTAAGAACACAGATACTGCAGCAGCTCTACCGCTCAGTAATTGTGTAATCCAGGGCAAGTCATCTCCCCTCTGTGTCCCCATTTCTACACCTGTGCGACGGAAATCATTACAATGTCTCTCAATCATCGTGAGGGTTAAATGAGTGGTTATGTGTAAAGTCAGAATGTAGTAGGCAGCACAGAACTGTTTCTTCTTATTGCCATTATCATGTTCATAGAAGTACAGGAAGCATACTCACATCTCTGATGTTGACGTGGAGCACAGAACTGATGTACGTTGGTAGGTAAGTTATGATTATGGTGCATAACCAGAAATGGCTGAAAAAACCCGTGAAAATGGCCCAAAGTGGTAGGCATCTGACCATAGCCTTTATGGGGACAGATCGTCTAGGAGAACTGGACTGAAAGGAAATATCTAATCAGTATGGGTATTAGAACAGGACAGAGGATGCCTCTCCTGAGAGCCCCACACCCTACCCTGGAGATCTCTGCATGGCCCACAGGTAGAAGGGCTGCACTGTACCTGTTGAGGCAGTGAAGACACTATGTGGTCCTTTTCCCTGACGCTTATGCATGGGTGATGCATGGGGTCATCATAAATCACCATGAACCACAGGAGACAGCAGACACAGCCAATGCTACCTGGGAAGCTGGGATCCAATTAGTTTTCAGGTAGATTTGTGTGCTAGGGGAAGGGAATTTCCTCTGAAGTAGCACACATCACCCCAAAACACACATATCAATTCATGGTTGTTCCACCATCATGACCTAAAGTTTCCCACTTCTTCATCTCAACTCATCTACAAATCTCCTTTTGACTAAATGTAGAGTGCCACTTGTCAATGTCAGAGTCCTCTCGACAGAGCAGGAGCATGAACGTACCACTGTATAGCTGATTAGTTACTCTTCAGACTCCAGTGGATATATCGTGGTGTGTCATTAGCAACAACTTCTTAATGCACACATTACTGTCTTATTTTAGAAGATCTGAACAGTCAGGATTGAAGAGAAAAGTATTCATCCATATACAAAACAACCTGCCATAAAATGAGTGTGGCAAGGAAAATTTTCCAACACATTTGCAAAAGACAGTGTTATTTGTATTCAAACAATACATCCATTATGGATTTCCAGAAAAATATTTCTTGACAGTACCTGATCAACATGTGTGGACAAAAATGACCTGGGATTAGCATCATTAATGAGAAAGCCATCCTAGCTGGAACCATATTGAGAATAGAAACTTGTCTCATTGCTGAGATTTGTCACCTGAAGAGGTTCTATGTTAAAAGACTCTGTGGACTAATGTTCTTTAAATTTCCTCTAATTACTGGATTTATCCATTCTTTTATTTATAAAGCTATAAGTCAGGCACTATGACAGTACCAAAGTGATAAAAAAAATATGGAATGAAGTTCTTGCCTCAGTCATTTCATAATCTAGTGGAGAGGGAGAAGGGGAAATAAATAATTACATGCCAACACAGCCTAGAAAAGAAATTATCAGTAAGCATCATAGAGGACAGAAAGACTTAATCTGATGGGATAAGTCTTGGTAGACTCCATAGGGAGGTGTACAGTTAATTTGAGCTTTGCAAGATTCACCTGGTAGAAAATAGGTTAAGGGCATCTTGGCAGAAATAATAATTATAATAAAATATGAAGACATATTGAAAATGTGCTTCACCAGCTCTGACATATTAACCATATAGAGCAACTAGACCTGGTGTTTCAGACGTGGTGGCAGAGATTCTACAGAAGATGCCTGGGGTGGGTGTGTGAGGCTACACTCCTGATTTCTCAGAAGTCAGCACCATGCAGATGGTCATCCCTTAGACTAGACTAAGAAATCTACCAATCCTCAACATTCTTCGTCATCTCCCATTTAACAATGGACATTTTCTCTCAAATGGGAAGAATGTGGGCGATAGGTAATGTAAGCATAAAAACAAATGCCTGGGAAGTGGAGGTGTTAGGAGATAAGAGAAAGTGACTCACCAAAGATGTAGAAGATAAAAGGCCAGCCCAACGTCTGTGAGATTAGTCCCCCCACACAGAGGATGATGAAGGACCCAAACGCTGCCCCTGAAGAGAAGAGGGATAAAAAACACTGAGGAAAATAGCAAAGGTTGAGACTGAGTGACTTCCCTGGATGTTGTCCCAACAAAGAGGTGGCAGACTTAGAATTACTGGGTGATGAGAGTCTTTCTTCCAGCTCACAGATCTCCCCCAATAAAGTCATGAGAAGTAATCAGAAATAATCAATAATAACAATATGCCACCTGACACTTCAACGGCTCCTTAACTCCAAAGTGACCAAATACAAATCCCTTTGTTTGTCATAGACACTCTCTGCAAACATAGCCCACCAGTATTTCCTTATAATTAGAGTTACATTCTGGCAGGGGCAATATGAGGTTGGCAACAGAAAAGGAAACTCTTACAAAAACTAATAAGATAAAGTCCTTGACCTCAAGGGGATTTCAGCCCAGTTGCAGAGAAAAACGTGAACAAAATTCACTATTATAAGTGTAATACAATGTAGACCTTGGAGTCTGAACATATTTTTCAGAGACCCATAATAAGAAATGTATCTTTCATGGCAACACAATATATACACAAATACACACACACACACACACACTTCAAACAAGAGTTTCATGAATCAATACTTAGTCTTACCGTGTGCAATTCACTCCCAAATTTTCCATTCTATTCTATTCACTTTCATTTTAAAAATACTGGTTTTGACCTACTTAATTGATTTTATGACCCCTTCAATGGGCCCCAATATATGCAATTTGAAAAAAAAGAATGTGGAATATAAATATGATAATAAAACTACAATTTTCTTTGAAAGTATACATGAGAAAATTAAAACTGATGATAAGATTCACAAATTGTTTACATGGGCTAAGAGTAGGATGGATGGAATTTTGGTAAAAGAAGCTGGGAGCAAAAGACCTTCCAGGAAAATGAGCCAGTAGAAATAGAGCCAGAGAGAAGTTAAGTGCAGACTATACATGCTACAATCTGAGCATTGCTTACAGAGGGATGTTGATTGCAAAGGCAGGTTGGGACCAAATGGTAGAGCATCTTTATATCCATGCAATAAGGAGGTCAGTCTTCTGTAATCATGAAGGCACACACTGAAGATTCCCAAGCAGGTTAGCAAAAATGCCCTGTCTGTGCTTTAGGGAGATAACCTGGCTTTGATGAGAAGTTTGAAGGAAACAAAGCTAGAGGAGAGAGAAGACCAACTGAGCATTTGTAGATAGAGGAGATGCTGACAACTGCAATGGAAAGAGCCACACAGGACAGTGGCTTTGGAGTAAAAATCTGCAGGATGCAGCCATGCATTGGACTGGGGAGTGAGAGGCTTGATGACCCTCAGTTCTGTTCTTCAAGTACACATTCTCAGTGCTACCAGTTGGGGCAAATAGCAATGATGTAGTTATCAAGTCCTTACGATCACAAGCTCTGGTGGGGGAGGGTAGCATGGTGATTGAGAGTGTACACTCTGGGACCAAATTGCTGGGTCTCAAATCTCAGTTCTACCGCCAGCTATTTATTTGTCTCTGGGAAATTTACTTAATCTCTGCATACTTTAATTCCCTCCTTTGTAAAATGAGAGTTAAGATTGGTTCAAGATGGCAGAGTAGAAGGACGTGCTCTCACTCCCTCTTACAAGAACACCAGAATCATGACTAACAGCTGAACAATCATTGACAGGAAGACACTGGAACTCACCAAAAAAGATACCCCACATCCAAAGACAAAGGAGAAGCCACAATGAGACGGTGGGAGGGGTGCAATCACAATAAAATCAAATCCCATAACTGCTGGGTGGGTGACTCACAAACTGGAGAACACTTATACCACAGAAGTCCACCCGCTGGAGTGAAAGTTCTGAGCGCCACGTCAGGCTTCCCAATCTGGGGGTCCGGCAATGGAAGGAGGAATTCCTAGAGAATCAGACTTTGAAGGTTAGCAGGATTTGATTGCAGGACTTCGACAGGACTGGGGGAAACAGCAACTCCACTCTTGGAGGGCACACACAAAGTAGTGTGCACATCGGAAACCAGGGGAAGGAGCAGTGACCCCATAGGAGACTGAAGCAGACATACCTGCTAGTGTTGGAGGGTCTCCTGTAGAGGCAGGGGGTGACTGTGTGTCACCGTGAGTACAAGGACACTGGCAGGAGAAGTTCTGGGAAGTACTCCTTGGTGTGAGTCCTACCAGAGTCTGCCATTAGCCCCACCAAAGAGGCGCAGTAGGCTCCAGTGTTGGGTCACCTCAGGCCAAACAACCAACAGGGAGGGAACCCAGCCCCGCCAATCAGCAGACAAGTGGATTAAAGTTTTACTGAGCTCTGCTCACCAAAGCAACAGCCAGCTCTACCCACCACCAGTCCCTCCCATCAGGAAACTTGCACAAGGCTCTTAGATAGCTTCATCCACCAGAGGGCAGACAACAGAAGCAAGAAGAACTACAATCCTGCAGCCTGTGGAACAAAAACCTCATTCACAGAAAGATAGAGAAGATGAAAAGGCAGAGGGCTATGTACCAGATGAAGGAACAAGATAAAACTCCAGAAACACAACTAAATGAAGTGGAGATAGACAACCTTCCAGAAAAAGAATTCAGAATAATGATAGTGAAGATAATCCAGGATCTTGGAAAAAGAATGGAGGCAAAGATCGAGAAGATGCAAGAAATGTTTAACAAAGATTGAGAAGAATTAAAGAACAAACAAACAGAGATGAACAACACAATAACTGAAGTGAAAAATACACTAGAAGGAATCAATAGCAGAATAACTGAGGCAGAAGAATGGATAAGTGACCTGGAAGACAGAATGGTTGAATTCACTGCTGCAGAACACAATAAAGAAGAAAGAATGAAAAGAAATGAAGAAAGCCTAAGAGACCTCTGGGAAAACATTAAACGCAACAACATTCACATTATAGGGGTCCCAGAAGGAGAAGAGAGAGAGAAAGGACCCGAGAAAATATTTGAAGAGATTATGGTTGAAAACATCCCTAACATGGGAAAGGAAATAGCCACCCAATTCCAGGAAGTGCAGAGAGTCTCATACAGGATAAACCCAAGGAGAAACATGCCGAGACACATAGTAATCAAAGTGGCAGAAATTAAAGACAAAGAAAAATTATTGAAAGCAGCAAGGGAAAAATGACAAATAACATACAAGGGAACTCCCATAAGGTTAACAGCTGATTTCTCAGCAGAAACTCTACAAGCCAGAAGGGAGTGGCATGAAATACTTAAAGTGATGAAAAGGAAGAAGCTACAACCAAGATTGCTCTACCCAGCAAGGATCTCATTCAGATTTGATGGAGAAATCAAAAGCTTTACAGACAAGCAAAAGCTAAGAGAATTTAGCACCACCAAACCAGCTCTACAACAAGTGCTAAAGGAACTTCTCTAAGTGGGAAACACAAGATAAGAAAAGGACCTACGAAAACAAACCCAAAACAATTAAGAAAATGGTCATAGGAAAATACATATCAATAATTACCTTAAACGTGAATGGATTAAATGCTCCACCCAAAAGACACAGGCTTGCTGAATGGATACAAAAACAAGACCCATATATAAATGTCTACAAGAGACCCATTCAGACCTAGGTACACATTCAGACTGAAAGTGAGGGGATGGAAAAAGATATTCCATGCAAATGGAAATCACAAGAAAGCTGGAGTAGCAATACTCATATCAGATAAAATGGACTTTAAAATAAAGAATGTTACAAGAGATGAGCAAGGACACTACATAATGATCAAGGGATCAATCCAAGAAGAAAATATAACAATTATAAATATATATACACCCAACATAGGAGCACCTCAATACATAAGGCAACTGCTAACAGCTCTAAAAGAGGAAATTGACAGTAACACAATAATAGTGGGGGACTTTAACACCTCAGTTACACCAATGGACAGATCATCCAGACAGAAAAATAATAAGGAAACACAAGCTTTAAATGACACAATAGACCAGATAGATTTAATTGATATTTATAGGACATTTCATCCAAAACCAGCAGATTACACTTTCTTCTCAAGTGTGCATGGAACCTTCTCCAGGACAGATCACATCTTGGGTCACAAATCAAGCCTCAGTAAATTTAAGAAAATTGAAATCATATCAAGCATCACTTCTGACCACAATGCTATGAGATTAGAAATCAATTACAGGGGAAAAAAAAACGTAAAAAGCACAACCACATGGAGGCTAAACAATACGTTACTAAATAACCAAGAGATCACTGAAGAAATCAAAGAGGAAACCAAAAAATACCTAGAGACAAATAACAATGAAAACACGATGATCCAAAACCTATGGAATGCAGCAAAAGCAGTTCTAAGAGGGAAGTTTACAGCTATACAAGCCTACCTCAACAAATGAGAAAAATCTCAAATAAACAATCTAACCTTACACCTAAAGGAACTAGAAAAAGAAGAACAAACAAAACTCAAAGTTAGCAGAAGGAAATAAATCATAAAGATCAGAGCAGAAATAAATGAAATAGAAAAGAAGAAAACAATAGCAAAGATCAATAAAACTAAAAGCTGGTTCTTTGAGAAGATAAACAAAAATGATAAACTTTTAGCCAGACTCAAGAAAAAGAGGGAGAGGACTCAAATCAATAAAATTAGAAATGAAAAAGGAGAAGTTACAACAGACACCACAGAAATACAAAGCATCAAAAGAGACTACTACAAGCAACTCTATGCCAATAAAATGGACAACCTGGAAAAAATGGACAAATTCTTAGAAAGGTATAACCTTCCAAGACTGAACCAGGAAGAAATAGAAAATATGAACAGATCAATCACAAGTAATGAAACTGAAACTGTCATTAAAAATCTTCTAACACACAAAAGTCCAGGACCAGATGGCTTCACAGGTGAATTCTATCAAACATTTAGAGAAGAGCTGACACGCATCCTTCTCAAACTCTTCCAAAAAATTTCAGAGGAAGGAACACTCCCAAGCTCCTTCTATGAGGCCACCATCACCCTGATACCAAAACCAGACAAAGATGTCACAAAAAAAGAAAATTACAGACCAATATCACTGATGAATATAGATGCAAAAATCCTCAACAAAAGACTACCAAACAGAATCCAACAACACATTAAAAGGATCATACACCATGATCAAGTGGGATTTATCCCAGGGATGCAAGGATTCTTCAGTATATGCAAATCAATCAATGTGATACCCCATATTAACAAATTGGAGAAGAAAAACCATATGATCTTCTCAATAGATGCAGAAAAAGCTTTTGACAAAATTCAACACCCATTTATGATAAAAACTCTACAGAAAGTGGGCATAGAGGGAGTCTACTCAACATAATAAAGGCCATGTATGACAAACCCACAGCAAACATCATTCTCAATGGTGAAAAACTGAAAGCACTTCCTCTAAGATCAGGAACAAGACAAGGTGTCCATTCTCGCCACTATTATTCAACATAGTTTTGGAAGTCCTAGCCACGGCAATCAGAGAAGAAAAAGAAATAAAAGGAATACAATTTGGAAAAGAAGAAGTAAAACTGACACTGTTTGCAGATGCCATGATACTATACACAGAGAATCCTAAAGATGCCACCAGAAAACTACTAGAGCTAATCAATGAATTTGGTAAACTTGCAGGATGCAAAATTAATTCACTGAAATCTCTTGCATTCCTATACACTAATGATGAAAAATCTGAAAGAGAAATTAAGGAAACACTCCCATTTACCACTGCAACAAAAAGAATAAAATACCTAGGAATAAACCTACCTAGGGAGACAAAAGACCTGTATGCAGAAAACTATAAGACACTGATGAAAGAAATTAAAGATGATACCAACAAATGGAGAGATATTCCATGTTCTTGGATTGGAAGAATCAATACTGTGAAAATGACTATACTACCCAAAGCAATCTACAGATTCAATGCAATCCCTATCAAATTACCAATAGCATTTTTTACAGAACTGGAACAAAAAAATCTTAAAATTTGTATGGAGACACAAAAGACCCCAAATAGCCAAAGCAGTCTTGAGGATACAATGGAGAAAAGACAGTCTCTTCAATAAGTGGTGCTGGGAAAACTGGACAGCTACATGTAAAAGAATGAAATTAGAACACTCCCTAACACCATACACAAAAATAAACTCAAAATGGGTTAGAGACCTAAATATAAGACCAGACACTATAAAACACTTAGAGGAAAACATAGGAAGAACACTCTTTGACATAAATCACAGCAAGATCTTTTTTGATCCACCTCCTAGAGTAATGGAAATAAAAACAAAAATAAACAAGTGGGACCTAATGAAACTTAAAACCTTTGGCAACGCCAAGGAAACTACAAACAAGATGAAATGACAACCCTCAGAAAGGGAAAAAATATTTGCAAACGAATCAATGGACAAAGGATTAATCTCCAAAATATATAAACAGCTCATGCAGCTCAATATTAAAAAAACAAACAACCCAATCAGAAAATGGGCAGAAGGCCTAAATAGACATTTGTTCAAAGAGGACATAAAGATGGCCAAGAAGCACATGAAAAGCTGCTGAACATCACTAATTACTAGAGAAATGTAAATCAAAACTACAATGAGGTATCACATCACACCAGTTAGAATGGGCACCATCAGAAAATCTACAAACAACAAATACTGGAGAGGGTGTGGAGAAAAGGGAACCCTCTTGCACTGTTGGTGGGAATGTAAATTGATACAGCCAATATGGAGAACAGTATGGAGGTTCCTTAAAAAAACTAAACATAGAACTACCATACGACCCAGCAATCCCAGTAGTGGGCATATACCCTGAGAAAACCATAATTCAAAAAGACACATGCACCCCAATGTTCACTGCTGTGCCGTTTACAGTAGCCAGGTCATGGAAGCAACCTAAATGCCCATAGCCAGAAGAATGGATAAAGAAGATGTGGTACATGCATACAATGGAATATTACTCAGCCAATAAAGGAATGAAATTGAGTCATTTGTTAGAGATGTGGATGAATCTAGAGAGTGTCATACAGAGTGAAGTAAGTCAGAAAGAGAAAAACAAATATTGTATATTAATGCATATATGTGGAACCTAGAAAAATGGTACAGACGAACTGGTTTGCAGGGCAGAAATAGAGACACAGATGTAGAGAACAAATATATGGACAGCAAGGGGGGAAAGCAGTGGGGGGTGGGGGGTGGTGGTGTAATGAATTGGGAGATTGGGATTGACATGTATACACTGATGTGTATAAAATGGATGACTAACAAGAACTTGCTGTATAAAAAAATAAATAAAATAAATTTAAAAGAAAAGAAAATGAGAGTTAAAAATTATCTTCAAAGGGATATTGTGAATATTAGCTCCGAAGAGTAAAGAACTCAGAATAATGTGGGCCCTTGAAACTCTACTTTCCAGACTGATTTATCTCCTTACCACTGATAGTCTTAATTCTCATTTGCATATCTTTGCTAAAATGGTGTTTATACAGTTTACTTGTTTGTTTTTTTTTCTATTTTTGCAAATTCTTAAAGTTCTAAAGTTTCCCCTACAGTGCTTTTCTGACTACCCTCACAATGCTCAATGGTCTTTTCTGCTTCTGAGTCTTAGTGGCTTTACAGCACAGATGTATCTGTCTTATTTGTTATGTGACTGTCTTACATTGTTGAATATTTTTACAGTACTTTTCTCCCTGTTCCCCAAACCATCCTATGCATAGAAGGAAAGATGTAATAGGGTGAAGCAGATTACAAAGTTGTGATCTATATGCATATCCTTACCTGATCCCGCAATGCTGGTGAGCTTGCTTCGTTCAAGTGGGGGAGCCCATTTTGCCCAAATTGTAAACTGACCTGTCCATGCCATTCCCTGAAATGAAAATCATTAAGGCTCTTGATCTCTAGTAGAATTCAGGCATCCATATCCCACACAGAATGAGAAAGTAACCGGCTACCTGGGCCATGCCCTGGACTGTCCGAATCACAATAACCAGAATCACTCCAAAGTCAGCAGCCAGTGGTGTAAAGAGGGTGAGAAGGGAGGAGATCAGCAAACCAGCACCAAGCATCTGCTTTGCTCCAAATATCCCTGCTAAATAGCCACTTGGGATCAGAGTCAGTATTATCCCATAGCTGATGGAGCTAAAGATGATACCCTGAGTCTCTGGGCTCCATTCATATACAGAGGCCTGGGGGGAAAAAAAGGAAAATTCTTTGCTAAGAATTTCTTTTATAAAAATTCTATTTTATAGCCAGAGCTGCTTGGGGTTTTGACCCTCCTATAAAATATCAATTTTGGCTTTCCTCCATTTTTTACCAAACAAATATTCCACCTTTTCCAAACAACCAATTATATCTCTAATTTGCTCCTCTCAGAGGGAGAAAAAAATAGAGAAATGAAGAAGAAAAGGAAAAAAAAATAGAGAAATGAAGAAGAAAAGAGATAAATAAATGATTACATAGGTAGTTGATAGGAAGATGTAAATGAAATATAGTGAAAGAGCTTCTTTTAACTATTTTGGTTCTAGTAAATAAGTCAGAAGACATGCTGACTCTCATTTTAAAAAATAAGGAAAACACATCTTTACTGAATGCTTATCAAAATTAGTCCCTAAAATCAAGTTTAGGAATCATGGTCTGCCCTGGCAGACCTATGTGTCCTAAGACACATATTACACATTAATAAGATCACAATTTCTTCTGATGTAACCCAATAAATAATTTTGGTAGACCACTAGATACATGGCATCATGGTATGAATTGAAGTAAAGAGCCAAACAATGTAAAATATGAAATATTTTGTCCACTTAAAATAACTATAAATAATACAAGATATATGACTCATGTCAGAATTCAAGTTTGAGGATGAACGGCAGTAAAATAGGGACTTTAAGAAGAGGGAAGAACAATTTTGGGAAGGTCCCAGGAAGGAAGAAGTACTTGAACCATTCTTTGAAGAATGCCTATGATTTGTGTAAAGAGAAATAGGAAAACTCATTCTTATTGAAGAAAAACAGCAAAAGTGGACTTGCAGTATTTGGAATGATACCCAGTGAAACTAACCAGGACTCTAACTTGCTCAGAGCAAAGACTCTCCCTGGGTCAGTGATAGCAGAAATGAGTGTGCTGAGAAGTGGGCCCAGGTTCTGGAGAAGTACAGCATCTCAAGAGAGGAGTTCGTGACTTGAAGGTATTCTGGATTCTTGAGCACAGGTGTGTGAATGTGTAGAATGAATGATGGAAGAAAGACTGGAGACAGAGAGGTCATTATAAATAAGCTGGCTCCAAGGTAACAAAATCATAAAATATGAGGATGACTTTAGAAATGTAAAATAAATGTTAGTTTAAAGAAAAAATTTAAATGGGTTATAATCATGATTCTTATACAAATAAAAAATGAACATGTAATAAAGATTTTGTTTAACTCATTGATTAATGGGGGAATTGGTAAGATGTTACAACTGGCCCAAAGGAGAATTCAAAGACCCACACATTTATAAGTGGGAAGTAATGCTGAAATAGATTTTAAATATATAGCAAAACTGGCTTATTTAACTGAGAGGCAAGTGGAGGAGAGTAGCAATTGATTTTTCTCAGAACAAAATTCATTTGCAGAGCTATGGGCAAGAATCATTTGCATTACTATTTATTATATAGAACTTACTGAGTTGTAAAATGGCTCAAAGACTATGAAAAGTACAGAGACCTGCTTAAAATCAGGCAGAAGGATGTGCTTAGATACATCCTAGTGCCTAGTTTTTCATTGAAGATACCCAGTAATCTATTCCTTTCTAGAAGTGTTCACAATTTTTTCCTATAGTCCCTACCCCCAACCTTGTAATCATAATAATCTCAGTGAGACTATTTTAATCACAGAGGTAAGCAATATCTCAAAGAAAAATACTTCCAGTCCTTTTTAGTTTGCCACTGAAAATTCATGCTTCTATATGCCACAGAATCAAGATACAATTCTTCCTTTCAAACTGGGTTTTCCCTCTCAACAAAGAGCCTTGTTCTCCATTATACTTACTCCTGAATTAAACTCCTTGGTGGATCTGTTGGAGCGATTGAGGGTGAATGCAAGAGGTCTTTCTGTGGAGGCATTGAATAAACCAGGCTGCTGAGTGCTATTCACCATGGCAATGATTGCAATGCTCAGACTCACACGCTGGGTTATCACGGTAAAGTTTGAGAAGTGCATGATGAGAGCCAGTCCATAGCGTAATGAACAGAATTCAGGAACTAGAGAATAACACAGATGTCTGCAGTGAGTATCGTGACTGAGATCACCTTCTTTCCATTTCTCCCACTGCTAAGTCTGAGAAAACTACAGATGATTTCATGCAGTCCCACTATCTTTTTTCACCGAAATAATCATAACTACAAAGCTTCTTTGTCATATTCTTTAGTTGGCTTCAAGACAATAAATCGGGGATCTTACCATAAAGTAAAACAAATACGGCCTTTTTTCAGAGGTGTGGGAAGCAGATGAAAATATAATAAAAATTAAATGAAGGCATTTATGTCACATTGTTCCAAAATAAAGTGAATGAGGAAGATGGGGAAGAGCCAGTCACAGAACCTGAGTCTCCTAGTCTCAAGTCTGTGGTCCCATCTGTTTTGCATATTCATCTACCATAAAGCTTGAAAGTTTATACTTAGAGACCTGCCTTTGAATTAAGCTAACATCCAAAGGTTCTCTTTTATTTATTTATTTATTTTATTTTTTTAAATTCATGCTCATGCCTAATTCGAAATTTTCTGCTATTTCTTTTTTTTTTCTTTTTTTTTTTTGAAGATGTTGGGGGTAGGAGTTTTTTAATTAATTTATTTATTTTTGCTGTGTTGGGTCTTCTTTTCTGTGTGAGGGCTTTCTCTAGTTGCTGCAAGCGGGCGCCACTCTTCATTGCGGTGCGCGGGCCTCTCACTATCATGGCCTCTCTTGTTGTGGAGCACAGGCTCCAGACGCGCAGGCTCAGTAGTTGTGGCTCACGGACCTAGTTGCTCCGCGGCATGTGGGATCCTCCCAGACCAGGGCTCGAACCCGTGTCCCCTGCATTAGCAGGCAGATTCTCAACCACTGGGCCACCGGGGAAGCCCCAAGGGCTCTCTTTTAAAATACCTGATATACAGTGTATAAATGAGCACAACCACTAACTCCTTAGTGCAATGTTCACTTGGAAGTATTTTTGTTGTATGTCACTAGGCTCTGCCTTCACATATATTCAGCTTAAAAAAAAACTAATATGGGGAGCCATTTTTACTGTTTGTAGGTGATACGGTACTGGAGGGACTGTCATTCTGTTACAAGAGCAACACATTCTTTTAGGTCCCTGTGAAGTGGAAAAATGGGCCTATATTGAAAGGGTTCCCATGTGAATGATGGATTAAATTTTTTTGCACATTTGGAGAAATGGGACTAAAGAGCAACAAAGAGAGAACCTGTGAAGAAACAGATAAACATATAAAAATATATATATAATGGGAGAAATAATTTTTAATGGCCAAATAGGCTCAGGGATGAGATTTGGTTGCCTGCAAAAGAATTATTTCCCTATTACTGGAGGTTTCCAAAGCTCATGGGAAATAACCAGCTACATAGCAAAGATATTGTAGCAGGAACTCATATATGGGTTAGGGGTTTGTTTAAAATGACTTTTTCTGGACTCATTCCATTCCTTATGTCCTGGGATTCAGTGATCATTTGACGTAATTTCTCATAGATACCTCATTGGGGATCCCTAAGGAAAAAGTAGCAGGTAACAGAATGAGGGGCTGGATCTGGTCCAATGTTATACTGGGAGAATCTCCACAACAGGGAGGCTTGATAAAAAACAAAGGAGAAGGAATGGAGAACGAGGATGTGGAAATAAAACTTCCACTCTTCCATAAGGTAGCCTGCAAATACAAGATGTGACTTGGGACTTCCCTGGTGGTCCAGTGGTTAAGACTCCATGCTCCCGATGCAGGGGGGCCCAGGTTCGATCTCTGGTCAGGGAACTAGAGTCCGCATGCCGCAACTAAAGGTCTTGAGTGCCGCAACTAAGACCCGGTGCAGCCAAATAAATAAATTTTAAAGAAAAAGAGAGAGAGAGAGAGAGAGAGAGAGAGAGAGAGAGAGAGAGAGAGAGATATGTGGCTTTACCTTTCCTGGTGGAAGGCTTCTCATCCATTTGGCTCCTCTGGGAAATGGTACCACACTTTGTGGGGGAGATTCCCTCTGCCTTGAATCTCTTTTACCACGACGGGCTTTTATCTATGGGGAAGAAGAACAATCCAAAACAAGACGCACAAATAATTTTCTCGTGTTAATGTTGCATTCTCTCATCATCAATGAAAGTTTTGACCCAACACAGGTATATGATTTACATTTTGCAGTACGCTTCCTTATTGCTATGCTTACGGAGGACTCTATTTTTATAAGAAATCTGACTAAGTCCCAGCTAAGTGACATAGAGCTAGTCATTTAAATTCTCTAATTGGCCATTTCCTTGTCTGTTCAATAAAAATAAATCTCCTTTCTGAGTGGTGCTGCAAGAACTGAATGAGAAAATTGCAAACCACAGAGAACCATGCAAAGGTAAGGCATATTATAGCTTGAAGCAAGGTCAGAAGACAGGAAATTAAGCCCAAGAGCTGGGGAGGAAAGTTCCAGAGCAGCCCTTTCTTTCATTTTGACCATGTTTCTGTACATCTTTCTGTACAACCAGAACAATGTCCCATGGTTCCTTCTTTGAACATGAAGAATGACATTGCATAACACATATATATAATACTAATAGTATTTAATGGTTTAAAATGTTTATTCTTGTCTTTGCTAACACAATTTGGACACTTTACTGGGCTGAAAAGTTCTTCAAATCACCTGAATGAGGGCTTTCTACCATAATTATGAATAAATCCAGCTACTTGACAGGTAAAGAGAATTCATGACCTCGAAATGGACGTGTCTAATTTGATACCTGTACCCCAATATTTGGGGATTCATACATTATTTCTTCTAGGTACAATCCTCATGCTAAGAATATCATAAGTTTCGCAGTCATTCCTAAACTGAAGCATCCATGACCTCACAAACACATGTATCAAGCTTATACTGCATCACTCAAAGCTTTGCATTCTTTCTGCACATAAATTTAACAAGACTTATCTGCACACTTAAGAATGGAGGATGGAGGATCATAATGAAAGAGACAGGTGAAGAATTTTGTTCAAAAATATTCTTTGCAGTATTATTACAACATAATAGTGGAGACAAATTAACCTAACCATAAGGGTTTGGTGAGTCAATTTTAATAGATTCTTATAGTGGACTTTATTAAAATAATGTTTTCAAAGATATGGAATAATATTAAGGAAATGCCTGTACTCTAGTATACAAAACAAGCACTATGCCTATGTTGATACACGCACATCCAAGAAGAGAGAAATGGATTCACACAAGTGCCAGCAATGGCTATTTCTGGGTTGCAGAACACACTGTGGTCACGTAATTCTTTATGATTTTCCATATTTATCAAGTGATTTTTTTAAACAATTAGTAGTTATTTTATACTCAGTGTCTTTGAAGGAACAATAATTAGGCTTCATAAAGCCAGTCAGGGTAGTTTTCTGCTTGCCAAATGGCTCTAGAATTCTGAGAACAAGGTCACCCCATCTGAGTTTTGAAATTTTCTTTTTTTGTTACAATGTACCCAAATAGATGCCCAGTTGCCGACAAGAGAATGTCAGCACCAGGAAACATGTTGGCTTTTGCTGTGCTTTTTTTAAAACATCTTTACTGGAGTAAAATTGCTTTACAATGGTGTGTTAGTTTCTGCTTTATAACAAAGTGAATCAGCTATACATATACATATATCCCCATACCTCCTCCCTCTTGCATCTCCCTCACACCCTCCCTATCCCACACCTCTAGGTGGTCACAAAGCAGTGAGCTGATCTACCTGTGCTATGTGGCTGCCTCCCACTAGCTATCTATTTTACATTTGGTAGTGTATATATATCAATGCTACTCTCTCACTTCGTCCCATCTTACACTTCCTCCTCCCTGTGTCCTCAAGTCCATTCTCTACATCTGCGTCTTTATTCCTGTCCTGCCCCTACGTTCTTCAGAACCTTTTTTTTTTTTTTAGATTCCATATATATGTGTTAGCACATGGTATTTGTTTTTCTCTAAATGACTTATTTCACTCTGTATGACAGACTCTAGGTCCATCCACCTCACTACAAATAACTCAATTTTGTTCCTTTTTATGGCTGAGTAATATTCCATTGTATATATGTGCCACATCTTCTTTCTCCACTCATCTGTCGATGGACACTTAGGTTGCTTCTATGTCCTGGCTATTGTAAACAGAGCTGCACTGAACATTGTGGTACATGACTCTTTTTGAATTATGGTTTTCTCAGGGTATATGCCCAGTAGTGGGATTGCTGGGTCGTATGGTAGTTCTATTTTTAGTTTTTTAAGGACTCCATATTGTTCTCCATAGTGGCTGTATCAATTTACATTCCCACCAACAGTGCAAGAGGGTTCCCTTTTCTCCACACCCTCTCCTACATTTATTGTTTGTCGATGTTTTGATGATGGCCATTCTGACTGGTGTGAGGTGATACCTCATTGTAGTTTTTATTTTATTTATTTATTTTTTACATCCTTATTGGAGTATAAGTGCTTTACAATGGTGTGTTAGTTTCTGCTTTATCACAAAGTGAATCAGTTATACAAGTACATATATCCCCATATCTCTTCGCTCTTGCATTTCCCACCCTCCCACCCTCCCTGTCCCACCCTTCTAGGTGGTCACAAAGCACTGAGCTGATCTACCTGTGCTATCCAGGAAGCAACCTAAATGTCCATCAACAGATGAATGGATAAAGAAGATGTGGCTCATTGTAGTTTTGATTTGCATTTCTCTAATGATTAGTGAGAAATCATTAATGATGTTGAGCATTCTTTCATGTGTTTGTTGGCAATCTGTATATCTTCTTTGGAGAAATGTCTATTTAGGTCCTTTGCCCATTTTTGGATTGGGTTGTTTGTTTTTTGATATTGAGCTGCATGAGCTGCTTGTAAATTTTGGAGATTAATCCTTTGTCAGTTGCTTCATTTGCAAATATCTTCTCCCATTCTGAGGGTTGTCTTTTCATCTTTTTTATGGTTTCCTTTGCTGTGCAAAGCTTTTAAGTTCCATTTATTCCCATTTGTTTATTTTTGCTTTTATTTCCATTTCTCTAGGAGGTAGGTCAAAAAGTTTTGCTGTGCTTTGGAAGGCTTTCCAGTCCTGCTAACATCTGGATGATATCAGGAGTTCAGTTCAGGGCTCTACACTCAGATCTTAGCTGAAGAAACGGGAGCGGCCACCTGGTTGACCCGGAGTTTGGACCATTTTCTATTTGATCTCTCTTGTTATGTAAGATCCCAAGACTTGGCAGAAGGCGATTTTTCAACTGTACACTCAGCTACAAGTACTTGTACTCCAATGAAAGGTTTCCCACCAACCTCTCCAACCAATCTGACAAACATTGAGCCCTAGAGCTGAAAGAGACTTGGAGATTCTCTGACCCAACTGTTCTTTTTTTTTTTTTATGAGGAGATTGATGTGCAGAATGCTTGAAAAGTTGCTTCGAGTCACAGAGTATACTGAGTCAGCACCAGGTCTCCCGATGCCCAGACTACTGCTTTTTTCTATCTATTAATACTACTTCCTCTTTATGGGCATACTTTAAGCACAAGCTTAAAATACAATTGGGTAGTTTCATTTTAAGGTATTCCAGATAGGAATTTATATGATTTTAAGTTAAGGGTTTTTTTAAAAAATTGAGGTATAGTTGATTTACAATATTATATTAGTTTCAGGTGTACAGCATAGTGATTCAGTATTTTTGCAGATTATACTCCATTCTAAGTTATTACAAGATAATTGCCATAATTCCCTCTGCTCTACAGTATACCCTTGTTGCTTATCTATGATTTTAAATTAAGTTTTAATCATTTATTCCAGAAGGAAATTTGATGATGAAAATACTTTCAGGTTGAGCTTTGAATATTTAAAAAAAAAAAAAGACTACTCTTTCTTGCTTTTTTTTTGGCGGTATGTGGGTCTCTCACTGTTATGGCCTCTCCCGTTGCGGAGCACAGGTTCCGGATGCGCAGGCCCAGCGGCCATGGCTCACTGGGCCAGCCGCTCCGCGGCATGTGGGATCTTCCCGGACCGGGGCACGAACCCCTGTGCCCTAGCACCGGCAGGCGGACTCTCAACCACTGTGCCACCAGGGAAGCCCTTTCTTGCTTTTTTGATTAGTGGAATTATATCACAAACCCATCCCTTCAGTTCCCATTCCATCTGCTGCCATCCCTACCTTGGCTTTCATCGTTTCAAATGCTACTTTGAAATTTGCCTTAATAGCTAACTTCAGTTGTTAATTGCCCTGTTTCCTGTGTTTGAGACAAATGCAGAAATCAGGCAGACATCCCAAACCAATCGAAAAGAGGGTCCTTCTGTGACATAGTAATGGCAACTATTTTTCTAAAATAATCACAGAAGCATATGATAATATGGGATCTGAGAATTGGCATAATTGATATCACTTAGAGACAGTGGAATGAGTTTTAGCCCAATTATAAACATTGTCAAGGACCTTCCTACTCAAGAGTGACATTTCTAAAAAATAGTGAATCCTAGTGTCAAAGCTGTAAATAGGGGCTTCCCTGGTGGCGCAGTGGTTGAGAGTCCGCCTGCCGATGCAGGGGACGCAGGTTCGTGCCCCGGTCCGGGATGATCCCACATGCCGCGGAGTGGCTGGTCCCGTGAGCCATCGCCGCTGAGCCTGCACGTCCGGAGCCTGTGCTTCACAACGGGAGAGGCCACAACAGTGAGAGGCCCGCATACCGCAAAAGAAAAAACAAAAAAAAAACACCTGTAAATAGATATGGAAAAAAATGAATTAAAATTAAGTAAAATAAAAATTCTATACTTTAAAAATAATTTTATGACACAAAATAGAGTTATATTTGGTATAAAAATAATATAGACATAGATAAGATGACATGCATAAGCAAAATAATTTTATCCTCTTACTATTAGTCTAGAACTCACTATTTTGTTATAATGGTCTTTCTGTTGCTCTTAGATTTCCCTTAATACTGAGCCTGTCTTGCATCACCTCTGTTAGCCGAGTCCCCTAGTTTACTCAAAGTAAATGTTACATGTGGTTGAAAGAGCAGGAACCTGCAGGTCAAAGGGTATCCAAGGACCAGTTCTTCTCTGTCATTTACAGTCTGAGTAAAGCAGAGCAGATTTTATAAGATCCCAGAGCTGTCACAGTTTCATAGGAAAAATGGGGATAATATTACTTCACAGGACTATTGGGAATGAAAACAAAGGTATGAGACACGCCTTCTCAATGTAAAATATCATACATTGTAAAATGTTATTGATATTAACAACAGAAATAATAATAAGTAGTCACAAGATTGGCACTTGGGCCCTCTCAGAATAATAAATACAGGTTTACAGCAAATGAAATATCTTTCTATAAAAATGCTTTTGATTGATTGTTAAATTGGTTTTAAATGTTTCCTTTTAGAAGTGGGTTCTTCTGGACTAGAATCCAAAAGATGGATGAGGAAGGGATGCACCTTGCTACCAACACCAGAGAACATGCCAAGAAGTAATTTCTTCCATGCTAGTCAAACTGAGGCCTCTTTTATCACCTGTTTACCTTTCTGAAAGATTGGTAGTTCTGGAATAAAATTGGTTATTCCAGTAGGTCATTTACATCATGCTGTTAGTTCATGTGAACGTAATCATGAAAAAAAGAAAAAGAAAAATGTACTAAGCGGGCTTCCCTGGTGACGCAGTGGTTGAGAGTCCGCCTGCCGATGCAGGGGACACGGGTTCGTGCTCGGGTCCGGGAAGATCCCACATGCCGCAGAGCGGCTGGGCCCGTGAACCATGGCCACTGAGGCTGGGTGTCCGGAGCCTGTACTCTGCAATGGCAGAGGCCACAACAGTGAGAGGCCCGCGTACTGCAAAAAAAAAAAAAAAAAATGTACTAAGCACCAATAGTAGGTAATCCTAGAAGGCAGGGTTAGGTCAAAATTAAGGTGCAACTTGGACCCTGCCCACAGTGGACTCACAGCTCTGCTCACCAAGAAATAACACAGGACTGGGCACCTTACCTCCAAGGAACAACCTCAGGTTATGTCTTCCTGGCCTGTATGAGTCCATCTCTGCTATGGAATTGGGGTTTTCTCTGGGAAGGTTGGGAGAGGGCACCTTCCTTGGGTCTTTTCCCCTAGGCCTTCCCATCACAGCACTGATAGGTACTAACCATAATCTCTTGGGGCACCTTTCCTCAGCTGTACAATGAGGGCAACAAACCAGGTGATCTCCACAAGTGTAGAGGTTTTCTTGCCTTCAATCTTATCCACAACTTTGTTCATATTCTCCTTTTCCTGAGAGACAATTTCAACTATATACAGAAATCTGAAAAGGCCCATGAATCACAGTCCCCAATCCCAAACTTCGTTAGTTCTGATCCAGTATTTTATTCTGCAGCCAAAGCCTGTTTGATTCATCAAGGTGTCACAGTAAATACTTACGGAATCCTTGGAGAAGTGACAATTGTCCACAGAGTCCATTGACACTGGTGGCCTCTCAAGCCTTGCTGTAGGGTCTTGACTGAGTCAATTACATTTTTTAGAAAGTTTCTTCTTCATTTTGAAATCAGAAACCGTATTCCCAGGTGGAGATCCTTAGGCTGCTGACAATGTTTTCCTCTGACTTTCCCTTAAACTGTTCCCTCCCTTTAATGGATCTCTGATTGATTAGTAATTATCCTCTGATCCCAAAAGAAGAAATGCACTTACCTTCACCATTAAATCAGTATTGTAAGCCCTAGACTATAGGCTACCTTGAAGAAAGAAGGCATTTTTGTCCCTTCTTCTCTTTCAAATAATTCCACAATTTCACAAGGATAAATATTGCATCACACGGCAGGCAGACTGCATTAGGTTTAGCCCTACGTTCTCGGAGCAGAGAGCCTGGGTTTGGCTTTGCCGCTTAATTTTTAACTTCATTTTCAAGTTCTCGCTGATAGAATATCTCAAAAGATGACACCATGTTTTTTCTGCTTTGAAGTCTGCAGACAGCTGAAAAAGTCAACACGACTTTTTCCTGAAGGGGAGGCAGCATGATGTGGAAGAAAGATCAGGGCTCCTGGAACTGGAGGAATGAGGTCAACCCCACCTTCACTTCCTAGTGTTTTCTGTGGCCTTGGACAAGTCATTTAACCTCCTTGAACTGGTTTCTACCTTAGTAGAACAAGGGTTTAATGCTCAACTCATGGGGTTATTGGGCAAATAAAATGAAATACATATGCTAACCAGTAATAGGTCCTCAATAAATGAGATGCCCCCATAAAAGGGTTCTGTTAAATCAGCTAGACTTTCCTTAAGCATTTGGTGCCCACAGCTTAATAAATGTGAACTTTGGCTACTCTGACATCTTCCCATGAAGCTACCCTGCATCCTTCCTTCCTGCTTCTTATCTGTGCTCTTTCTCATCCAGTCTCTACTTGACTCTTGGTATTTGGACTTGTGTTTTATTTGAGATTCTTAAATTTTGGACTGTGGTTGCTACTGGGTCTTCCCAGTTTGACTCTCAGCCCTTATAAAATGAGGTGAAGTCCTGCCCTTTCTGCCTTTATTAGCTTTAAACTGCCTTAGTTGGGTTTCCCTGTCCCAGTTAGTCTTGCCCAAGGAGCCTATTGGAACCAGCACCTTAGCTTAACTACTTGTTTCCTCTGTATTAGTGTTCTATTGTGGCTGTAATCAATTACCACAAACTTAGTGACCTAAAGTACCATATATTTATTCTTCCAGTTCTGAAGGTCAGAAGTCCCAAATGGGTTTCCCTGGGCCAAAAATCAAGATGCCATCAGGGCCACACTCTCCCTGGAGGCTTTAGGGGAGAATCTATTTCATTTTTTCTGGCTTCTAGATGTCACCTGCCTTCCTTGGCTCATGGCCACGTCCTCCATCTTTAAAGGCAGCAGCATAACATCTTCAAATCTTTCTAACTCTGACCCTCCTACCTCCCTCTTTATAAGGACCCTGGTAATTATATTGGGCTCACTTGGAAAATCCAGGATAATCTTCATGTCTCAAAATCCTTAATCATACACACAAAGTCCCCTTTGCCATACAAGGTAACATGTTCACAGGTTGCGGGGATTAGGATGTGAAAATCTTCAGGTGGCATTCCTCAGCCTACCACAGTCCACTTTTGAAGAGTGGAGAAGTAGCATGGAGAGCTGAAACAACAGCGTCTTCCTTCCTGTAATTGAAAATTCTGGTTATGAATTATTATAAAGTCATTCTGTACTTGGTCAGCCAATAAAAATAGTTAAAAAGAGGGCAAATGAGAACTTCTTTTGCCTAGTTTGCCCCAATGAAGGTGTGACATTTTCTAATTTGTGCAAAGGTACAGCATGACCTGGCAGCAGCCTTGGCAGAAAAAGTAGCTGAGACTGGATCCCCAAAATAGGACTAAATATAATAAGGAAAGAGTGATCAACAGTGTCCAATGCCAGAAGGTTCAAACTATATTTTTCAAGCTACATATTTTGTTTAAATAGTGTAATCCTATAGTTGGATTTTGCAAGCTCCCTGAAGGAATCGTGTATTTTGAGAATTTCTATATCCATAGCTCTTGGCACAGTATTTGGACTATAGAATATATTAAATAAACATTAGTTCATTGGATGGATGAATTCTTGAGTCACGCTTGCCATTAAAAATCAAGATTTCTGTAGCTGGTCCAAACCCCTTAGCCCCCATCATGATTTTCACATAACAAAGTGTCAAATCAACTCAGTGAGCTCCACACTTAATAAGTATCTATAACTTATTTACAAATATCAAGAGTAATGTAACAGAAAAGATCAGAATCTTGAAAAGTTAAGTCTCTTTGGCCTGGCACTAGCAGCTGTTTCTAATCAGAGCAGTTCAATCCCACACTCTTTTCTGAGAATTTATTATATTCCAGACAGGATGCTAGCTTCTGAGAATATCAATTTGTTTAAGAACTGACCCATGACTCCACAGAGTTCAGAGTCCACTGAGCGAGACTATACACAAAGACAGACAACTAGGATGAAAAGTAATAAAAACTAACAGTATAAGCGTGCACAAAGCACTAGGAGAGAACAAATAAGGACCCCTGTCAACACAGGCGTGTCAGAGGAAGGCCTTCTGGAGAAGGCAGCCTGGTCAGTCTTCATGGGTGCCGTGAAAGAGCCAGTAATATAGGGAAAGGACTTTCCAGAAAGAACAAGGCCATAGAGGCAGGTGTGGGGAATTAGAATTGTTCAACATCCCTGGGGATTAAAGTACAAAGGCATGAAGGAAATTTGGTCAACTGACGGGAAACATGACAAACATTAAAAAAAAATCAATTGCTTTTCTCAGTAGTAGAAATAACTAGCCAAGAATGGAAATTGAAAGAAGCTTTTGATGTTCTCTAGTAACAAAAGCTCTAAAATTTTTAGGAATTATTTGAACAAGAAAAGTATGACTCAAAGGAAGAAAACAATAAAATTGCATTAAAAGACATAAAACAAGATCTGGCTAAATGGAACTATATACTATATGATTGGGTGGGAGAACTTAATATCATAAAAATATTGATCTTTTCTGAATTAATAGACAGATTCAGTAAAAATCCAACTAGAAGAAGAAAAGATGGAAGGACACACTGGAAATACCCTAAATGTTCATCAATGGGGCTAACAGAATACATTGTGATACAGCCTTATCACAGAAAATTAAGCAACAGTTTAATAGAATGAGTTGCATCTATACCATTTGACTTGGATGCTTTTGTACAATGTCATGTAATTTTTTTTTTTTGCAGTACGCGGGCCTCTCACTGTTGTGGCCTCTCCCGTTGCGGAGCACAGGTTCCGGATGCGCAGGCCCAGCGGCCATGGCTCACTGGGCCAGCCGCTCCGCGGCATGTGGGATCTTCCCGGACCGGGGCACGAACCCCTGTGCCCTAGCAACGGCAGGCGGACTCTCAACCACTGTGCCACCAGGGAAGCCCTTTCTTGCTTTTTTGATTAGTGGAATTATATCACAAACCCATCCCTTCAGTTCCCATTCCATCTGCTGCCATCCCTAACTTGGCTTTCATCGTTTCAAATGCTACTTTGAAATTTGCCTTAATAGCTAACTTCAGTTGTTAATTGCCCTGTTTCCTGTGTCCGGCAGGCGGACTCTCAACCACTGCGCCACCAGGGAAGCCCAATATCATGTAATTTTAAATGAGTAAAGCAGATGCAGAGTACATTGAAAGAGATCCATTTTCTTCTAAATTTTTAATTTATTTATCCAATTTTGAATTTATTTACCCAAGAAAAGCCTCTATGAGTATTTTTGTATGAGATTCTATGAGCCAGACCTGGCTGTTAACTTTGGTTATCTGATTTGGGTAACTAGTGAGATGCTAAAAGAGACCTATAAAACTAAACAAAAAGGTGACTACAGAAAAGGAACAGTTATAGCCTATGCATGTAGAATTGTGTGTGTGTGTGTAAGTTTACATATGCATACATTTGTCTATGTGTGTACATACATGTACATACATATACGTATGTATGGGTTTCTTTGTTTTTCTGTTCTGCGTTCTGAACAAATCTCTCAAAATTTTCTTCCACTGCCCTAAAATAGCACTTCTTAAATTTAATGTGCATATGAATTACATAGGGAACTTATTAAAGTGTTAAATATATGGGTCTGGGTGGGCCTGAGGTTTAGCATTTGTATCAAGCTTCCAGATGGTGCAAGTTCCCATGCTGCTGGCCCACTGTTACTTTGTGTAGAAAGAAATGCTCTTATACTCTCTTCCATTGTATTTAGTCTATAATTCATTCCAGGAATAATATTTAGTCAAAAATTTATTTAGCAATAGAGGTCCTTCTTTCAATGCCCATATTTTTCTTAGGATTTCTAAATTGTAAAAATAGTCAACTTTTCTTGTTTAATTTCTACTTATTTCAGTTTCGTAATTTCCTGGTGATTTTAACTACAAGTTAATCCTTCATTTATTTCCTTGAGCAGTCTAAACATAGTTACCTTTGTCTGACTAAAATTATTTTCTTTTAAAGTAAATTCATGTTCTGTTTGTTGAGTTTGACTGCTGTCTTTTAGGTCTATATTCATAAATTTTGAAATTTTGGGGTACAAACCAAATTAGTGTCTTTACTTATCTCTCTTTCTCAGTCTCTCCTCTCCCCTCACTGTCTCTCTCAGTGCTTACCTTACACTGTCTAGAATTCTTTGTGCCACCTTCATCTGCATTTTAAGGTTCATGTTCCAGAACCATTCCAGGGCTTACCCTAGCATTCCAGGTCTCCTGCCCTGTGATAATATTCTGGTCATCCCAAATCTGGTCTCTGATCCTGTGGGCAGCTTGATTGAGGTCCCAGTTGCCAGCCTTAGTCTGTGTTTGCCCCGCTGCCTCCTCAGGACTCTATCTTGCTAAGGCTCATAGCCCTGGATGTCATCAGTCACAGAATGATCTGCCGCCTCTTTCATCATGTGTTAGATTCTAAGATGACCTCAGTCACCCCTGTCTCCTCCATGTTCATGCCTTTGAGTGTGGGTGTGACCTGTGATTTGCTTCCAACCAACAGAATATAACAAAGGTGAAGGAATGTCATTTCCATTATTATATTATATTATATATTATATATTATTATATTATATATTATTATATTATATTATATATTATTATATTATATATTATTATATTATATTATATTATCCTCCATCTTGCTAACAGGTTTGCTCTCTTACGCTTTCGTTGGCTTGGAGGAAACAAGTGGTTGTATTAGGGAACACCCACCCAGGCAGAATCTAGGAGCCTGTAGGAGCTGAGGCAGCCTCCACCAAGAAATTTAAACCTTCAGTTCTGTAGCTGCAAGGAACTGGATTTTGCCAACAACTCGAGGGAGCTTGGAAGTGGATATTTCCCCCATCATGCCTCTGATGAGATTTCAGGCTCTTCCAACACCTGGATTGCAGCCAGGTGAGACACTGAAGCAGAGAACCCAGCTAAGCCATGTCTGAACGGACCTACAGACACTGGGTAAAAATAAATACGCAGTTTTTCGAGCCACTAAGTTTCTAGTAATTCATTTTGCAGCAATAGATAACTAATACCCATGAGCAGTAGAGTCTATCAGCACTAGATGTCAAACAGTGAGCCTGTCTCTGGTCCCATGTCCTTACAGAGACCACTCTTTATCTCTATCCTCTTAATTCTGAGAGGTCAAATTCCCAGACACTACTACCAGCTCTCAGTCCTGGGGTTCGGTAGGCCTGTGGCTTCAGCCCTGTGCAAAGATTTCTCCTTACTTTCTAGCTTACAGAGATGTTTATACTGTTTCTAAGTTTTGTTATTTCCCTCCTCTATTTATATTTTACCTATTAAATAGATAAAATATAATGAAATGAAATAAAGGAGAATGAATTTTATATCCATCTTAACCATCTTTACTCCAATAAAGATATTTAAAAAAAGACACTTAAAAACTAAAAAAAAAAACAAAAAAAACCATATATTTTTACACAGTGGTCTGATTATTTTCTTCAGATAATGCCTTGGAAGTAAAATAAGTGGCTCAGTTGTAAAACTTACTACCAGACTGCCTTCCAGGGTGGTCATTACTTCACATTTACAACAGGCAATTCCCCAACAAGGCCCATGTCCTTGTACTTTATGCAATCCTAGTCTCCAGTTCTTCTGCTTTTATTTCTCTAATTTATGCAACACCCCAAGTCCTCAATAACCCTGCGTTGATGCTGTTGGGAGTACCAACTCTATCTCCTCCAGAACAGAGGCAGAAGTTCCTCTTAGAAAAATGTCAATCTGTCATAACCTTAAGTCTCCCCAATGTCATTTTCCACCTAATTTCTTTGTATGACTTGGGTCTCAGGATAGGCAGTTACCCCTGAAGTTTGATACCTGGATTTGTCTGAATTCTTAACCGAAATTTTAGACCATATCCAACGGAACACACTGCCTCTCAAGCCTTCAGCCGAGCTTATAGTTTTAACTATATAATTACCACCTGAGCATCTTCCAATGCAAAAGCTGCGAAACAACTCGGTCTCCAAAATTCACTCAACTTGCTGCACTGTACCAAATGTTAGTCTGAATGAGATAGAAAATATTTTTCAGGATTTAAAGGCCCAAGATCTTCCAACAATTAACTTACCACTTCCCAAGTTTCAAAGGGGAGATTGGCAGTGGAGACATTCCAGGGTCAGTGG